TTCCGGCTAACTTGATTCCTAGTTTTCCAATATTTGCATCTAGGTTAGTATCTAACCTTTACATCAATAAAATAACTTAATAGGGATGTTTTATACACTTGGAGTAGTGTATAATAGTCCCACCAATCGTTCATATCATTTGGAAAATGAATGGAAAGGTTTTGGGATTAAAAACTCACTTAGAAGAGTAAATCCGTCCCTGCGAGGTCGCGTTCTGCTCGGACGATTTGGAAGCCTTCCTCTACTCCGATTGATGCAAACCAGACCTTCACGGATTCCTCGTCTTGAGAGCTTTCTTTTGGTATCTCACACGCCTTAATTGGATTGGTAAAACTCGAGATATCAACCAAACAGTCTCAGCACTCTCACAGCTCGAGTTCACAGACCACTGCTCGTTCCAGATCGATTTTTGTAAGATAATCTCTCTCTCCTCGAACAAAGGCCACTCAATTATGAAACTACACTTCAAGAGCTATCCAAGGACACCTCATACACGTTATTTGGTTGAGGATAGCTCCTATAATGAGTGGAGACAACCAGCACACCATTTTGTGCGAAAATAGGGATGGTGGCCCAACATTTGATTCCTATCAAGTCTTGTGCAGCTCCTCCCCATGGTGGTCGGCCAAGGTAAGTTTCCTAACCCATTTTTATTTGTCTTGCAGGTACTAATATCATGTGGAGTGGTTCCCAATTGATCCCAATCATTTTGGGATCCAAATTATCTACCAATACTTCCAAAAATGGGGAAGATGGGTCCTATTGTTTTATCTTTTGTCAAAGATGTCTTTTTGTACTCATCCTAATTTATTTAGCACAAGTCAACTTCCTAAATCACATTATTGATCTCCAATATGTGTAGGCTCATCCCAATAATTTACACGATGAAAATTACAAAAGAATGCGGGTTTGAACAATACAATATTCAATCATGTACTTCGTAAAATATTAATCGTTTCTTCCATTGCTTTGAAATCGGAAATTCAATACATCACTTTTGAATTTTTAAATCGAATTTTCAAGGACGTTCGGGTGCGGTGTCACAATACGAGTATCCGAAATTTTGAAATAATTACAAAAAAAATGGAAACTTTTAAAAATTACAGATATGACACGGGAACGTATGATACGAGTATTCTAGAGTATCGGATACGAGAACGTTTCCGATACGTCGATACGGCACCCCAGTGAAGTATTCGTGCTTTATAGGTCATAACTCATACTACTCCCTTTTTCTTATTGCGACAAAGGAGAATAGTGCATTTTTTTTAGAAAAATAGAATTATATGATTGGTAATGAATTATAAAGTGAGAATAAAGTAAAAATGAATTAGAATCACACAAGTATTATCAAATATGATATGAGACAAATTTAGTGGGGAGAACGAAAAAGAAAAAATGAGACATTGTAGTGGGACGAAGGGAGTAACTCATAAGTCAAAGGGTGACAAATTAAAGATGATTGTACTTCTAAGTAATTACTTTTATTTATGGAATAAAAATATACTACGTAGTGTTTTATGGCTATATCGGAATGCCATGTGCGGTTTTTAGAGAGTATGTAAAGCTAAATATTAGAAAGATGTCTGGTAATAAATGAAATTCGAACTGTTACATCTACCCAATGAGGGCTATTTGTATTAGTTATAAATGTTAGATGCATTAATTTCATGTACACGTGTGAGCTAATTTATAGGCAAAGCCCTACAATGTATGAAAAACTCGACGCATGACGTTGGTGGATATCGTTGTCTGGCGGACTAGGTGCTTGGTACCCCTCATTTTGTTGAAGGATCATACTGCTAGCTTTGTTATGTTCTTCTGTGAAGTCCCCGGTCCAACCTAGGTGTGCAAGAAGAGGGGTTGGCTCGACACTGTTCTGGAAGTCGTACATCTGACTTGTCAAGGTGTCCTTGTGGATGCGCCCTCCACTGTCGAAGGGCCCATACAAGGGTTATGCCCATATAGCTATAGGCCTGTTGCAGATGTCCATGAGTATGTGGGATCATATACTCGATTAGGAGTCTCCGATTATTTTATCGAGAACATGCGAGACACAAGGAGTACATTATATTGAGCTTTTTTGAACATTTTCGCTTTGTTTGTATCCTCATGTGAGGCCGAGGTGCAGTCCCCCATTATTTCAAGACGAGAGTAACATTGGTTGTACGAGTAGATAATTAGTTATGCCGAGGACCAAAGGTGCATTCCTGAGTCTAGACTGAATATTTAATCTCTCTGGCAAACCCTGACTAAAGTAAACCTATGGAGGAATCCTTTGTTCAAGGTCATTGGCTTGAGACCATCATGTATGGTACCGAGGCGGGGGAGCCCTTTGATGATATTTGATGTTTGATAGCTTAAAGATGGAGCCGATGGGCATTTAACAATATTGGTGGATGTGAGTTTCTAGCCGTGAGGCTGGTTGCGCGCATTGGTGGTCGGTGGTCGGTGGTCGATGGTGAGGAGTGTTGTGCACCGAGTGTATAGTTGAGTTGGATTGTGGATCTATTCTTTAGGACACCCGAGAGACCTGCTTGTATCTATATGTGGGAACTTACACTCGATGCTCGTCGAGGTGCGTGTAAATTTTCACGGGGCAAGTGGCTAGTGATAAGCACAAATAGTTACCTATATTTTATATAGGTAATTATGATTATCTGTACAAATATTCAAAGACGAAACAGGTAAAAATCTCAATTTGAGCAAAATCGCATAAAGGCGTCAAAGATGAAGAAACAGGAGTCAACAGTCAAAAGGGACCGAGAACCGACACTTCGGGGTCAACTACGGCGTAAAACGGAGAGAAAAATGAAGTATTGCAATGCAGGGGAAACCGGCGCCGGTTATGCCCTATAACCGGCGTCGGGTGTATTTAATTTGGGAATTTTAACGGTTTGCCGAGGACTAACCGGCGTCGGTCCACCCCTATAAACGGCGCCGGTTATGATGTTTTTTTTTTCAGTACAAACTCTGCACCGGTCAGGCCTAAAACCGGCGCCGGTTAATCCCGATTCTGCACAAAACAGGGAGACGTGCAACAATATCTTGATGGGAAAAACCCACTTTCCTTATGTTCTGAGCAAATACTTCATCCATGCCTAATTGTTGGGCTTGATTAGACTAAAAGATGTCAATCTTTAGCCTATATAAAGCCCCCAATTCATCAAACAAGATCATCAATCCATCCTTGAAGCTTAAATTTTAGTTTTGATATTTTCTTTTTGCATTCTCTTGAAGTGTTGGAGAAGAAGTCATTTCTCTCCTCTACAATTGGTTCTAGATATTATTTCTTGTATTTTATTATTTCATTGTTCTTAGTTACACTTTTGTAATTAGTATGAGCTCAAGGAGCTAAGTTCTTAGCTAAGGCTAGGGATGAGCTTCTATATGCCCACTAGGTGTTTGATAAAAGTTCTAAACCAATAAATTGTGATTTATCTTTTACATTTTGATTGTCTATGCTTACTAGGTCTTTTGTTGTTCATCTCTAATAGGCACAATAATTACTTATGCTTAACAAAAGCAATTATAGTAATCTATAGTGGAAAAAGAGAGGAAAAGGAGTAAAAGCCCAAGATGTGTCGGAAACGTGAAATGTGATAAAAAGTGAAGAAAATAAAGTCACATGTCAAAGGGATCACAACTAGGACCTTGCGGGTTAAGCGTCGATTGAACTGAAAAGTGCTCAAAACTATGTAATTGTGACTTGGGACCGACCGGTGCAGGTCAACTTTTTGGACCCAATCGGCAGTAGTTACATGTGATTTTTGAGGAAAGTGATTGGAAACAGCCACAATCGACGCCGGTCATGGCTAATACTGCAAAAATTAAAGCAACTTACAAGATCCATATTCTCGAGTTGAAATAAAGACATGTGGAAGGTATGGCTCTTATGTCCCACTTTATCGAGAATTTTCGAAATTTGATTTTCAAGTGAATGTTTTGGCACTGGTTAAGTGATTAGACTTTGAGATGATTGATTTTTTTAGCTTATCAAGGTTGATGTCCAATAATTCTTGTTCATTTTGTCTTTGAGAGTATAACACACTAAGACCTATCCGGGGGTGGAGAAAGGGAGGGGCTGGAGGGGTCTCGCTCCCCAAGAAATTGTTAGCTAGTGTAACACCACGCGCCGCAGAGTCTGAGGTGGTCACTCCTGAATGCCATCCAGACATTTAGTGTTGTTCTCACAAACCAACGCGAACCTTTTACAGCGCTCCATGTCACCCCAAAAAAGAAGATGCACCTTGTTGGTTTGAACAGTACTATAAATCCATTTAATTTAATTTCAAGTATTACAATCACCTCCACTTAAGAATCACAACGTTCTCGATCCGCCCATAAGCCAATCTAATTATATCTTAGGACCCCCCATGCTAAGTGTCTGCCCGATATCTAATGGACTTGCACACTGTCGCAAGGTTGCTCTGATACCACCTGTAACACACCGCCCCACAGGACCCGAGATAGTTACTTTTGAACACCACGTACACTATGTCCTCACTTGTGCGCGCCGTGAGATACTTCTCAGGGGTTCACCTATCCTAAGACTATCACATACAAGCACGCTTAACTTGGGGTTCTCAGTTAATAAGTTTCATTAAAAGAGATGCACCTTGTTGGTATGAGTAATAATATTAATCCCTTTAATTTAATCTCAAGTATTACAACCAGGGTTAGAAAAAAATCATTATAAGCTAATGAGTACATAACTTTGTTGAGTATTATATGAGTAATATTGAATGAGATACGACTTTATAATTATACAAGGCATTATTAGTAATATGTGTTTGGATGTTCTTGTTTTAATCCAAGTTGAAATGTGATATATCAAAACACTTACAGTAATAATATTATATGTCCAATAAAAGAAAGCATGTTATGGGTTAGTTCTTAACCCCGCATAGGTGTTACACAATGGTTAAAGGTTAATAGGTAAGTGAGGTGTAATACTTCAATACGGTTCAAAAAGAAAACATTTTTACTTGTTACTCTCATTTTTATACATTATCCATATATGTTTTAGTTCCACTTTTGAACAACTTCTTAGTACAAATATTATTCTCATTAAACAGGAAGTTAAGAGTTGCTCGAATAGGAAAATGAAGGAAACAAATACTAGCTATCGTACAAATGAAGGTTGGTGTGCCTCAGTGGGTGACCATGCACAAGTCTCTCCTTGATGAGAGATCTTGGGTTCAATTCCCACCTAGAAAAGATGATGAAGGCTTTGCTTCCCGTGATTCTCTCTACATTTACGGAGTAGCTCATGAGTTGAGGATGAAGAAGATAGTAATGTAGTTAGTGGGTTCATGCACCGGTAGCAGCAATTTGAAAGGGATAGGTGGTGTAAGTTTCGCTGAATTCGTCTTTAGAGCTTATCAATGAAGCTTACTTATAAATTTACTTGTGTAAGGACTTTGATTGATAGTTCATAAATTTCAGAATTATAGCCCACACCAAAAAAAAGGAAACAAATACAAAGACTACTAAATAGAATAGTGCACAAGTGAAATGACGAAATGAACCCACATGGCAGAGACGAAAGAGGAATTTGGACGTTGAAGACTCGGACAACATTAGACTATTAGAGCATCTCCAATGGTGCACATGTGGCATGTGAGATGACCACATACATACTCATAAATAAATTATCACTCTCCTTATTTGAATGATTTTATACAATTTTGGTAAGTTATTTTAAGGGAAAACTGTCAAATAGACCCCCATACTATACTGAAAAAGTCAATTAAGTCCTCGTACTAAAAAAACACCCAATCAAGCACCCCAACTTAAAAAAAAAATCAATTCGGTCTTTTAGTAGGTAAACAACAGGTCAGCCGGTAAATGTGTACACGTGGCGCAGATGTGGATTTTTTTTTTCTGTTTTTATTTCCTGTTTTGCTTCTTGTTTCCTCATACGCTTGTTGCTCCATTTATAATCTTCTATCAACAAGGCGGAGCCACGGTGACTATAAACCTCCTCTTGCACACCCACCTAATTAATCAAGACCGTATGAGCAATAAAAGACAGATGGACAGTCCACGGGGCTAACAGAGTACCAGCGGCAACAAATCGGCAAAAAATATACGTAGTATATCGTTCGATCCAAAACTTCCGGCGTCCCCTTCGTTAAATTAATGGATTAGGTGAGGCGACTGCTACACCATTTGAGGTCCGAAATCACAGGCCACGGGCCCACAACTTGCTCCTAAGGGCTGCACTTGGTGAAGTTAGGATGCGGCGGCAGACCGACAGTGGGTGAAAGCGTAAAAACAAGGATCTGGCGAGCTGAGAATTGGGGTGAAGAAGAAGGGAAATTTGGAATGGAAGAAACAGAAAGAAATAAAAAAAATACACTAGTTGCAGATCTACTTGCAGGCATACGTAGACCAGGCCAATAAGGAAGAAGAAAGGAGGGAGCCGGAAGAACGAAGGAAGAAAGAAGGAAAGAGAAACAAAGAGAGAAAGGAAAGAAAAGGAAAAGAAAATGAAAAAATCCACCTCAGCGCCATTTGTATACAATTACCGGTTGACCGGTTGCAAACTTACTAAAGAGGCGAATTGATTTTTTTTTTAAAGTTGGGGTGCTTGATTGGGTGTTTTTTCAGTACGGGAGCTTAATTGACTTTTTCAGTATAGTACAGGGGCCTATTTGACAGTTTTCCCTTATTTTAACAATGTCAAGCACAATGTCTATATCTAGACAGTCTCCTTGACATTACAGAGAAAAACTTACCAAATTTGTATAAAATCAATTAAATAAGAAGAGAGATAATTTATTTGGTGATATTTGTGTGGCTATCTCGCATGACATATGTGCACCGTGCAATAAGATTCAAGATGGTCTTAGCATGCTCACATAGTCATACATGAACTTCATTCAGCTAGACGAAATGAAGAATTTTAATCTATCATATATATACTCCGTGCTACATATCATATCATCTGTGCAGGAGAGGGAAAAAGCGTTCACGGAAATCAGACTGGTAAGAAATCATGAAGAGGAGAAGAACAAGGAGCAGCCCGACCCCCCAGGGGGTGGTGCCGGCCCGGTGAAGGGAGTCCCTCTCCGGCAACCGCAAGAAGAACAGCCGCGGCGGCGACTTCTCGAGTCTGGAAAGAAGGTGCAAGCAGAGGAGGAGGAGGAGCGGGGAGAGCATGAGAAGCAGCTTGATTTGGTCTATGACCCCCTCCAGAACGGAGTCATAGTTGATGTACCACGTGATGCCCACGAGCATCAACACTGTGGCCATGAAGAAGCAAAGGTGGGCTGATAACGCCGGAGGCGGCGCCGCCTGAGAATAATAACCGCCCGCCACCGCCATATATGTGTATGTATATATTTATAGGTTGATTTGATATGATGGATGAATAAATGAGTGTTAATGGGATTCTGGATCAAAGCTAGCTAAATTGGTTCCCTCGGCTGGATGGGTTAACTAAAGTAACAATACATTCTTTGATCAACAATGAATTGAAACACTACATGCATAGCTGCTTTTACATCTACTACGTAGTATATACCAAACCAGATTCGGCGGGCGTGCCTTTTATAGAGGTCGATGGAATTAAAGCCCGCCCCGGTGGCCGGTGCTATATTGAGTTCTTGTATTACTACTTCTTTCAAAGTCTTTTCACTTGTTTTTTTCTGTTTTTGTTTACTCCAGGGGTGTCTGGGGAGGGGTCTGGGGGCTGAAGTAATCTAGGTTGAAACTCACTTCATTGAATTTCGAGATCGAGACCTCCCGTAAGGGAGAATGAGTCGGCAACTAGCTGGGCTGGACCGCTTTCTCTTCTTTTCACCTGTTAAAAAGTTGAAGGTTATTTTGATTTTTTGAGTCAAACTTGTTAAACTTTGACAATTAACTACTTAAATTAATATAGAGTAATTTTTTATCCCAAATTATTAATTTATTGTGCTTCATTGTAATATGTAGTATTCAAATGTCAATTTATTATAGATTTTATACGTATAGATATTGTCCGTCTATAAGACCTCAAAAGTCAAACATGGATTTATATTTAGGGACGGATGGAGTAAACTTTACCAATGTACTACAATTGTATGATTGTATCCTATCATCTTATTATCTTAAGTTGGGCAAAAGTAAAACAAATATTGGGATAGGAGAGTTAGTACACACCATTGATATATAATGTGTCTTAGGGGTGAAGAATTGGGCTTGTCAAAAGAAAAAGCTGGGGACTAAAGTTGCATAGCTTTTGACGCATGAAAGATTCTTCCTTCCCGGATGATCCTGATAAATCTGTACAAGAATTTTGTCCATGAGGCCTTTCATCATTGAGGTGCATTTTTTCATTTTTAACCAATATGTCTCTGACATTTGCCACCTACGTATTAGGTTGTGTAGATCTTCTCCCATTTTTCTTATAGTCTCTCATCCATGTCTTCTTACTTTGTATTGTGGACTGTGGAGGTCTACTTTAGTTTTTCTCAGTCTATATTTGTTTTAATAATACTCCGTAATTTCAAATTTTCCCTCCGTTTCTAAATAAATTACTCACTTTCCTTTTCTAGATGTCCTTCAATATAGTTCTCCCAATTCGTTCTAAACCAAATCGAAAACAATAAAAACCGAACCGAAAATCGATATACTCACCTCTAGTAAAATTTACTCCTCAGAAAAGGAAAATTTCAGGATGTCAAAGTAAAAAAAAATATTTACTCAATATGAGTGCAATCAAACTTAGACTTTTATAGAGGGACGAAAGTAGTACATGTATTCTTTTTAAAATTACTCAATTGTTCTTACCTTTTTTTTTTACCTTTTCACATCATCTTTCAGACTTTTCCATCAACGTTTTCTATAATATTCACTACCCTATTATCTCTCTCTTAAAAATTTTGTCAAACTCTATTGTAACAAATGCTACCTCTGTCTCATTCAAAGATTCTCATTGCAAAATGACAAGATTATATAGACATTAATTAAATATGCTCGTTTGAATATATTTTTAAAAATAATTTTGATGGATATATAATATAATGGGTTATTGATGATAACTATGATGTTATAGATGTATTCTTTTTAACATTTGATGATTAAATTGTTATTTAATAGTGTTACTTGTTTCCTAAAATAGAAGAGATTATATTTCGGAAGCTAAAAATTGAAAGCAAGTGGATGAGTGCTTTAAAAATATTATTTTATTTATACTTTGTAAAAACATGTTTATCAAACACTCTAACTACTTTTAGCATTTCAAAATCATTTTTTCAAATATTCCAACTTTATATATAGGAATACTACTTTATTATACGGGGGCGAACCTCTATGTCCGAAGGCCTAGGGGCGACAAATTAAAACGGGCCTAATGTTACAAAAAATTGTAGAACTCTTTTCTATTTTAACTGACATGCATAATAATTTAGGAAGAAAACAATGGTGATCCGATTTGTGCATTTTATCAATGTTTAAGTCATATTTAAGGAAATAACTCTATTACTACCACCTACTAAATCCCCCCCTCCAATGATGTAATCATTCTATATCGTTTAATTTTTAGTAGCTAAATTATTGTTATTCTTTGAGTTCTCATCTTGAAGAGGACATTCAGAATGTGACTTCTTTATACAAAGAAACTTTTCCATCGAACTTTTTTTACTTAGCGCCGCTTTCTCTAATTTTCTCCTCTTTTTATATATCCTATTCAGATTCGATCCTTTTTATTACACCTTGAAATTAATTAAATTTATAACAGTTATCATAATAAAAAATGTTTGTTTAACAAAATCAACAAATTATAACACCAACACTCAATACAAAACAATCAAGAATTAAGAAATCAAACCATCAACTATGAATAGAATCAATTAATAAACTAATCAAATAATCATATGACACTAATATGCTTTAGAGTGAATTTTTTTTATGAAATTTTAAGAGAATGTTTTTCATCAAGTGTAGATTATGTCCATAAAATTTCAACTTAAAATTCAATCGTGAAGTCAGTTGAATAAGTTACTGAAAAACAATGCACCAAAATATGTATACAAACGCAGTGTTTTTCAATAATTGACTTCTAAATTGAACTTTAAGCTCATTTTTTTTATTTACATAATCTACACTTCATAGAGAACATGATCATAAATTTTCACCCAAAAAATCCATTCCGAATAACTTCAACAAATACCAACTGAAAAAATGTTATTGTAGCGCGAGAAAATGAGTCTACTCAAACCTATTACAAAGAACTAAACTTACACCTATTTTTTATCAATTTTTTTGCCTAGGGTGCCCACCCCCTTGCACCCCCTAGGGCCGCCCCTGATATTATATATACCATCAATCAATATTCTAATAGTAATTCATATATGTTAGTACTTTCATCAACTTTAAAAGACATTAAGTCTATTTTTTCTCAATCGAAGTGAAAACCACTGGCCAGTGGACTCGGTGAGGTCAGGTAGCTTGCCACTGCACAAGATAGGAAGAAGACATTTAAGTAGATTTTGGATTGTCCCAGGGAGTGTTATATAGTATGGAGTAACCGAGTAACGAATAAAAACCAATACCTTCCGATTTAAACTTCACATTATTGATAAATTATATGAGTATTTAGAAAATAATTAAATAAAATTATTCTGATATATTTTGAAAAGTAACTTTGATGATTGTGATCATCTTATATTCTGATATTATATATTCTGATATAATATAATAGTATATCATCTTATGATAATTGTGATCTTATAACTATATTTTTTTAACTAGTGTTTTACCCGGGCGTTGCCCCGGGTGCACATTGAGATTGTTATAACTGTTGTAACATATATATATAAGCAAAAAAAAAAAGCAATAGGAATAGTATTTTAATTAAATAGAAGCAATAAAAATTGACATTGTATGGAACATGTGAGTTGTGTAACGCCGTACACACAAAATATCACATTGTTAGGTTTTGAAAAACCTCTTTATAAACAACATTGACTGTCTTTGTGGAGAACCCTTTTTCTTTTGAACGGATGAGTATCTTCAGACCATCTCTGCTCCTCACCCTTGATATTGCCACATACAACTGACCATGAGTGAAAACTTGTCGCTCAAGGTATAAACCGGCCTGTGCTAACGTCTGACCTTGACTTTTATTTATCGTCATTGCAAAGCATACCATCACAGGGAATTGCTTTCTCTGAAAATTGAATGGCTATCTGATGGTGACAATGGAATTCTAGGAATGTAAACCTTATCTCCCATAGCTTTTCCTGTTATTACTTTGGCTTCCAACACGTGCTTTCCCAGTTTGGTTACGACCAACCTCGTTCCATTGCATAATCCTGCCGCCTGATCAATATTTCTCAATAGCATTATCGGTGCTCCTATTTTTAAATGGAGAACATGATTAGGGAATCCTGACATTGATATGCTATTAAGAAACTCGGTTGTGTACATATCTGCACTGAAGGGATCTATGTCTGAGGGGATTATACTATCTGAACTGAAGTATGTAACTTCCTCACCAGAAATCAATGAGAGCATGTAGTCATTTATGTCATTGACAATGTCCAATGTAGGTCAAGGATCATTCTTTCTTGTAGATATGCAGGATCACTGAATCTACTAAGGAAGTCAGGATATGTGCTATCAACTATAGCTGCAATGTGGTTATCTTTTACCTTAAGGAGCAAATCATCTGGGATCTCCACTTCTTGAACACCACCTTTGTCTACTCCAATGTCACCGTCCCCGATTTTAAGAACCCACTTAGCAAACTCTTCAGTTTGTTGTTTCCTAGAGTCATTCTAATCTGTCATCAGTCTCATATTCTTTGTGAGACGAAGTACAGTACAATGATCCCAAAGATGTGATGAGTTGATCGTTGCCATTACCACATCTGCTCTTCCCCCCTTCGGGACGACTGGCAGCGTCTGTCTAAAGTCTCCTCCCAAAACAACAATTTTCCCTCCGAACGGCTTTTCTTCATTTTCGGGATTAGATGGTCTCGTGATGTCTCGCAACGTGCGGTCTAAAGCCTCAAAGCAGTGCTTGTGAACCTTGGAGCTTCATCCCAAATAATCAAAGATGTGGCTTGTAATAGTTTTGCTTTTGCACTTCCTTGACGAACATTGCAAGTAGAGTGCGCGACAATGTTCAAGGGAATAGAAAATCTCGAGTGTGATGTCCTACCCCTTGGAAGAAGTAATGATGCTATCCCACTTGATGCAACTGCAAGAACAATATCTCCTTTACTCCTTAATGATGTTGTAAGTGTATTCCACAAAAAAGTTTTCCCCGTGCCTCCATAGCCATAAACAAAGAAAAATCCTGCAATAGAGGTTGAAAAAATGGATTAAAAAGATTTAGATATTACGTGCAGACTATACAATTATATAATAAAGGTTACCGCCCAGATGTTGATTCACCGCATCTAAAACATTCAAGTAAATATTCCTCTGCTCATTTGTTAATTTGTCAATTAGATCTGGCAATTCTCGTGCTAAAGTTTCTTTATCATAATCTAACTCTTCACGTATAAGAGTATTCTGGTCTTCGCAAACATTTGTAGTATCTAATTTTGGCATATCCACGAAATCCGCAAGGCTTTTCCCATTTCCTTGTAAGATCTTTTCAATCTCCACCAAACATT